AAGCTGTAGAGTCTCCTTATGAGTTTTCGGGTTTTTGTTTTAAAGGTGGATCCTTTTTTTTTTATTCCTCAGCGAACATGAGAGAGTATTGAGGCCAGTGTTGTGCACTAAAGATTCCGCATGAGTGCAGGGTTTGCTTCTTGGTCTAGTGGAGAGTAGACAAATCAGCCATGGTTGTGGCAGATGCAACGACAAGCAGAGGGGATAACAAGAGTACATGTAATGGATAAGTCCTGGCTCACCACAGACCAGGCCTTTTTCAAAACACAGCGTAGGCCGATAGAAGTGAAGCAGGGGACTTACACTATGTGAGTCTTGCAAGGGTGTCAGACTTTTGAAGTGTTTGACCAGGACAGAGTTTGAGTAAGATTCTTCATGGGGAGGGGGACATGGCAGGGATCCAGACTGGGATTGATGATGGCCTGAACTGGGGATGGGGGTGCTGAGGATGGATGTAGGGGCATGGGAGAGAAGTGGATTCAAAGAGGCTTAGGGTATAAAATGGAATGGAGAAGTAGAGATGTGGGTAATAGAGAAATGAGATTGACATAATTGTGTGTGTGTGGTTGCCATTCACTAGAACAGATAGATGTCTTTCCTGGGCGACCTCCCAGCTGTCCTCAGGATCCACCCACCCATCCCTTCATACCCACCCCATACACATAAAATGCTTTCTCTCACAGCAGCCCAAGGATACTGTTAGAATGCAGATTGAGTTCAACTGTGATGGCACCAGCACTCAGGCCAAGGCAGGAGGATCTTTAGTTTGAGGCTAGCTGGAGCCACACAGCAAGACCCTTCATTTCAAAACAATATTAGATCTATGTCACTTGGATCTTCCAGTAGCTCCCTATTACATTGACACTAATTCCCTCCTGATTCCCAAGCCTTGGCCCCCTGCAAGCCTTACTAGACTCATCTTGTACCCTTAGCTGGCTGGCTGTGCCCCATTGTACTGCTTACTTGTGGTTGCTTGACGATGCCCAGTGTGTGTGGGCCCAGGGATCTGTCTTCTGCTTCAAATGTTCATTCTTCTAATTTCCTCCTATGTGGGCTCCTTTCCTACTGGAATTCAGCTGGAAGGTCAGCTTTGCAGGGAGGCTTTCCACCAAGACCCTATTGTCCCCTCAGACTATACCATTCCTTGTCATTTTGATTCTCTACATCTTTTATGAGCTATCATCATTCCATGGGACATTGGTTCCAACTCCCCAGTACTCATACACAGATACTAAACTGTGAGGATGTTAAGTCCTTTTATGCAAAGTGGCACGGTATCCCTAGATAATCTATTTGGCTTTGTAAATTGTTGTTTTACTGTGGGTTTTGTGGTGGTGGTGTTGTTGATTATTTTTTTAGAAAATGACAAAAGGGAGAAAGCCTGTTCATGTTCATTATAGACATAATATTTCTGATACACTGAGTTGAAAATGCCCTTGTCCAGTTGACTAAAGTAGCTACCCTAAAGAGATTTGGCAGACATCCATATATACAAAGGAACTGTTCAGGAGGATCATGCAATGAAAAGAAAACGAGGGCTAGGCGGTGGTCACTCACACCTTTAATCTCAGCATTTGGGAGGCAGAGGTAGACGGATCTCTGTGAGTTCCAGACCAGCCTGGTCTACAAGAGCTAGTTCCAGGTCAGCCTCCAAAGCCATAGAGAATCCCTGTCTTTTTTTTTTTGGTTTTTCGAGACAGGGTTTCTCTGTGTAGCTTTGGAGACTATCCTGGCACTCACTCTTGTATACCAGGCTGGCCTGGAACTCACAGAGATCCGCCTGCCTCTGCCTCCCGAGTGCTGGGATTAAAGGCGTGCACCACCAACGCCCGGCTTTTTTTTTTTTTTTTTTTTAAGATTTATTTTTATTTATTATGTATACAGTGTTCTGCCTACATATCAGAAGAGGGCACCAGATCTCATTGTAGATGGTTGTAAGCCACCATGTGGTTGCTGGGAATTGAACTCAGGACCTTCACTAGAGCAAGCAGAGCTCTTAACCTCTGAGCCATCTCTCCAGCCCGAGAAACTCTGTTTTGAAAAAATAAAAACAAAAAACAAACAAAAAAAGAAAACAAAAAAAAAAAAGGAAAAGAAAAGAAAATTAAGAGGTTTGTGACCCAGGAAAAGGTGGGGCTCCAACATTTAAGTGATAGCCATGGGAGAAGAAACTTCAAAAGACACTAAAGGAATAATTAAATAAGCAAAACAATACATAAATAAATGACACTAAAGAAGAAATATACAGCAAGAAGAGGAATACTCAGGGTGTAGAGTACCCTGAGAACAGAGAAAGGAATTCCAGATTGGGATGGGAGCAGGGTGAACCACCAGTGCCTGCAGAAAGGTAAGATGAGAAAGTTACTATATTCATCATTAGGCCAGTCACCAAGTGACCTTAGAGGGCAAAAATATTTCATGAGGGAAATAGGAACTATTTCCCATAGAATAAAGGGTTGTTTTGAAGGAAGACCTTGAGAAGTTAAAATAAATTTAGCTTTGGTGGAACTAGCCTGTCCAGCGAGTCAGAAAGGCAGGTTAATTTTGGTGGGTTCTTTGTGTGTGCCTGGACCCATCGACTTTGATGTACTTTTTCCCTTGTTTGTTTCCATTACAGAAGCCATATCTGTTTTGGAATGAAGTCCCCTGAGGAGATGCGCCAGCAGGCACATATCCAAGTTGTCAGTAAGAACCTGTACAGCCAAGACAACAACCATGCTCCCTTGTTGTATGGAGTGCTTGACCACAGGATGGTAAGGCCCTGCTCTGCCCTACCTATATCTGACAGTTGACCCACTAAATCAGTTGACTTGCCTTATAGGAAGGAGCCAGGTTTCTCTCCCTCCCTGAACCCTTTCATGTCTGGCTCTGAATTAGCCTTTGTGTAAATGGTATGGATACACTGTAGCTTCCCAGATGTTTGTGGGGTATAAGGGTTGGGCCCCTTTCTTGTGCTTTCCACTAATGGTTGGGTATACTTTCTTTCAAAGGGTACAAGTGAAAAGGACCGCCCTTGTGAAACCTGTGGGAAAAACTTGGCAGACTGTCTAGGCCACTATGGGTACATTGATCTAGAGCTGCCATGCTTTCACGTGGGTTACTTCAGAGCTGTCATTGGCATCTTACAGGTAAGCAGGGGAGAAATTCAACAGTGCTTAGTCAGGGGCATTGGAGTAAACCTAGGAACTGTGAGCGAGAAGGGATGCATCCAAGGGAATTTTTTTTGTTTGTTTTTCTGAGACAGGGTTTCTCTGTGAAGCTGGGGGAAGTTTTTATACTAAATACATGGTATCATTGTCTTAGGGTTTCTGTTACATGAAGGGACACATGATAATGGCAACTCTTATAAAGAAAACATTTAATTGTGGTGGCTCCCTTACAGTTTCAGAGGTTCAGTCCACTATGGTCATGGTAGGGAGCATGGTGGCATGCAGGCAGACATGGTGCTAGCTACATCTTGGCTTGCAGACAACAGGGAGTTGACTGAGACACTGGGTGGTATCCTGAGCATGGGAACCCTCAAAGCCTGCCAAAGCCACATCTTCTAATAGTGCCATGCCCTATGAAATTATTGGGGCCAATTATATTCAAGCTACCACAATCATAATCTTGCATTATGCTAAATTCCTTACAGATTCTGTAATGTCTATTTCCTTTGAGAAAGTAATAGCTGGTAGAGGAGATGGCTTAGTGGGTTGAGGCACTTGATGCCAAGTCTGACCATCTGAGTCCAATGGCCAGGTCCCATGTTGTCTAGGAGAGAACTGACTCCTTTTGCCCTCTCACATGTAAACTATAGCATGCACACAGGCACACACACTCTCACACTGGAGTAAATAAATGTAGCCAGATGGTGGTGGGCCAGCCTATAATTCCAGCACCCAGGAGACAGACGCAGGTGGATCTTTGTGACTTCAAGGCCAGCCTGGTTTACAGAGCGAGTTCCAGGACAGGCTCCAAAGCTACATAGAGAAACCCTGTCTTGAAAAACGGAAAATATAAATAAATAAATAAATAAATAAATAAATAAATAAAATAAAGTAAATGTTAAAGAGAAAAAAAAGTGGTAGTTTATTCATTGCAAACAATGTTAAGCCAGGTTTAACATGTATTATAATCTTAGCACTTAAGCAGAAAAGCAAGGCTAGCTGGGGCTGTATAATGAGACCTTGTCTTAAGGGCTCCAAAATTTTGACAGATTCCAACTGTCAAAAACTCTGTAGGAGTAGTGATGTGGACCTATAATCACAAGCCTAGAGAGGCAGAGGCAGGAAGATTGAAAATCTGAAGCTAGCCTGAGACCAGAGGTGAGTTCATGGTCAGCCTGAACTAACAAGATCCTGTCTCAAAAACCAAGGGCTGTAGATACAGTTTATTGATAAGCACTTACCTAGCATGCATGAGGCCCTAGGTTCAGTTCCCCAGCATTGCCCAAAAATAATAGTTCAAATAATACAGAAAACACAAAGAAAAAGACAAGAACAAATCTGGCCTTCAGTACTGCTAACGTTCTGAGAACACAGGCTGCCTCTATGTGCAGGTCTTGGCTCGTGATAATTCACTGTGTACTTTTAACAGTTTTATTACATTTATTTATTTTGTATGTATATATGTATGTGGGCACTCAGTAGGGGTCAGAGGATAACTCACAGGAGTCGGTTTTCTCTTAACTTGTGGTTCCCAGGGATTGGACTTAGATCATCCAGCTTAGCAGCAAAGCACCTTTCCCAGTGATCCATTTCGGTAGCTCCAGAGTGGCTTTTTGTTTGTTTGATTTTTTTTTTCAAGACAGGATTTCTCTGTGTAGCCCTGGCTGTCCTGGAAATAACTCTGTAGACCAGGCTGGCCTCAAACTTACAGAGATCTACCTGCCTCTGCCTTCTGAGTGCTAGGATCCAAGGCATACACCACCATCTCCCGACCAGAGGTGGCTTTTTTTTTTTTTTTGGTTTTTCTAGACAGGGTTTCTCTGTGTAGCTTTGGAGCCTATCCTGGCACTGGCTCTGGAGACCAGGCTGGCCTCGAACTCACAGAGATCCACCTGCTGTGCCTCCCGAGTGCTGGGAGTGCTGGATTAAAGGCATGCGCCACTAACGCTGGCAGAGGTGGCATTTTTAAAGGGGAAGAATTTTTTTTTCTCTTACTCTTGTCTCCATTCTGCTTAACCTTTAAAAGATGATCTGCAAAACCTGCTGCCACATTATGCTGTCCCAAGAGGAGAAGCAGCAGTTTCTAGATTTCCTGAAGAGGCCTGGCCTGACCTACCTGCAGAAGCGGGGCCTGAAGAAGAAGATCTCAGATAAGTGCCGGAAGAAAAGCACTTGTCACTACTGTGGTGCCTTTAACGGTAAGGGGATGCCCAGAGGTTCAGCAACGGCCTTTCTCCTCACTCTTTGTTTTATGGATTAGTTATGCATGATATTTTAGAATCAGCCTTTTTCCTGTGAGTTAGGCTTAATGGCCCAGCAGCTGGTGTGTTACTAGAAAATGTTCCTTTCCCTTTTGATTGCTATAGCAGTTTCATTAGACCTTTAACCAGCAGAACTGACAACCTGACTTTTTTAATCCTTGGAAAATGAATTCATTCTTATAGGTACTGTAAAGAAATGTGGTTTGCTGAAGATAATTCATGAAAAATACAAGACCAACAAAAAAGTCGTGGATCCTGTTGTATCAAATTTCCTACAATCCTTTGAGACGGCTATTGAGCATAACAAAGAGGTTGAACCACTGCTGGGAAGGGCTCAGGTGAGCCTTCCCTTTGCCTGCACCTTTCAAACATGCAGGGGCACATATGTGCATACACATACACTTGTACACATTCTTTCCATTCTTTCACAGGGGTCACCTGAGACCATTGGAAAACACAGATTGTATTTACATTACAGTTCATAACAATAGCAAAATTATATAGTTATGAAGCCACAACAAAAATAATTTTATGGTTGGGGGTCACCATAACATGAGGGACTGTATCAAAGGGTCACATCATTAAGAATGTTGAGAGCCATTGCTCTGTAGTTCTGGCTGTTCTGGAGCTTACGATATAGATCAATAGATCAAGCTGGCCTGCCTCTGCTCCCAAAAGCAGGGATTAAAGGTGTGTGATACCATACCCAGTTCCAACCTTAGGATTTTTAGATCTCTGTTTTTTTTTTTTTTTTTTTTTTTTTTTTTTTTTTTTTTTTTTTGGTTTTTCGAGACCGGGTTTCTCTGTAGCTTTGGAGCCTGTCCTGGCACTCAGTCTTGTAGACCAGGCTGGCCTCAAACTCACAGATAATTGCCTGCCTCTGTCTCCCAAGTGCTGGGATTAAAGGCGTGTGCCACCAACACCCGGCTATAGCTTAACATTTTAAATATATTTGTTAATTCATTAAGAATTTCATATATGCATACAATATATTTTCACCATGTTCACTCCCTACTTTTCCCTGTAAGTCTCCTCAGATCCACTGCCTATCCCTTCCCAACTTTATGTTCTCTCTTTTAAATGGTCCACCAAGTCAAATTTATGCTGCCCATATATCAAGGGTATGGGATCATCCACTGGAACACGGTTAACCTACTAGGAGCCACACCCTTAAAGAGAATTGACTCTCCCTTCCCTTGAAGCCATAAATGAGCAATGGCTTCTTAACCACTATGGAGTGTCATAAGCCCTTCCCCTCATCTACAGCATAACTCTTACACTAATGAACTTAATTCAAAGGTAATATAAACATATTAAGAAAAATGATTATAATAAAAAGAAAGCAAAATCAGTAGTTAGGTTCTTGCAAAAGGATTTTAGTTGAATATCCAGACCCTACATGGGGTGGGGGAGCCAGTTTAGTGGTACATGCTTATTATAATCCCAGCTCTGGGGAAGCAGAGACAGGAAGAACCCAGGGCTTACTGGCCAGCTGGCTCTAGGCAAGTCTCCACCACATAGCAAATTTGAGGCTACATGGATCTGGCCGAACAGTCTTCAAGAAAAACAAACATATGCAAAGATAGCTTTAGCAACCTATAGAAAACTGACCTACTGTCTCCAATCCTTCCTTCCTACTTCCCATAGGAGAACTTGAATCCTTTAGTAGTTCTGAATTTGTTTAAGCGCATTCCGGCGGAAGATGTCCCTTTACTTTTGATGAACCCAGAAGCTGGAAAGCCCTCTGATTTGATTCTCACCCGACTTTTGGTGCCTCCCTTGTGTATCAGACCCTCTGTTGTGAGTGATTTGAAGTCTGGAACCAATGAAGATGATCTGACAATGAAACTGACCGAGATCATTTTCTTAAATGATGTTATTAAAAAGGTCAGTGTTTCCCATTAACATGTGCATTCTGCACTGAGTGCAATTAGAGATATTAGCTCAATAGAGTGCAACAAAGCTCAGAGTAAGTTTGTCTCTGATCTTTCTATACTCATAGCACCGGATCTCGGGTGCCAAGACGCAGATGATCATGGAGGACTGGGACTTCCTGCAGCTTCAGTGTGCCCTTTACATCAACAGTGAGCTCTCTGGCATCCCCCTCAACATGGCACCCAAGAAGTGGACTCGAGGCTTTGTCCAGCGCCTGAAGGGGAAGCAGGGTAGGTTCCTAAGGCCTACCATTGTTACCTGTTGAGGGAGTATATGTCTGTTCAGATACCCTGCATATAGCATGGTGTGTGTCATGGGACCCATGGTGTTTTTGATTTATTTAGGTCGATTCAGAGGTAATCTATCAGGGAAGAGGGTGGATTTTTCTGGCCGAACAGTCATCTCACCTGACCCCAACCTGCGGATTGATGAAGTAGCTGTGCCAGTTCATGTGGCAAAAATTCTAACTTTCCCTGAGAAGGTAAATACCATTCAGCTTCCTGATTCTTTGTTTTCAGCCTAGTGTTTCCATTTTGATATTTCAGGCTACATATAGAGAGGCAAGTTCCCAGAGCTTTGTGAAAATATTTTCATTCTACCTTTATGGTTTCTTTGTTTTTAAAAATGAGTGCTCTGTCAGCATATGCATCTGAATGCCAGAAAGGGGCATCCGAATCCATTATAGACGGTTGTGATCCACCATGTGTTTGCTGGGAATTGAACTCAGGACCTCTGGAAGAGCAGCCAGTGCTCTTAACTTCTGAGTCATCTCTCCATCTCAGTCCACTTTGTTAAACACACACAACCTCTGTAACAGCTGCATTGGTGCAGTCCTAATTGTAGCTGGTGGTTGTTGGGTTTTCAGTTGTTTGTTGCAGAGGTGGAGACCAGCCTGAGACTGCATGTGCCAGGCATGTAAGCACTTGTCCACTGATCTACACCCTGCTCCACAGACCAAGAATGGAATCTCACCGACTCCAAGGAGACAATTCTTGTCTTGTTTTGTTTTTCTTAAAATGATTTTTTTTTTTTTTTTTTCGAGACAGGGTTTCTCTGTGTAGCTTTGGAGCCTATCCTGGCACTCGCTCTGGAGACCAGGCTAGCCTCGAACTCACAGATCCGTCTGCCTCTGCCTCCCGAGTGCTGGGATTAAAGGTGTGAGCCACCACTCCTGGCTCAACTTTTTAAGTTTTTAAGGGGGTGATGGATAAAGTACTTAAGTTACTTTCTTTGTATTCTGTTTTCATTTGTAGTGTATGTGTGTGTACACCTGCATGAGTGTGAGTGCACATGTCCTAGAGTGTGCATGTGGAGGTCAAAGGACAAATTTCAGGAGTGGGCTCTTTCCACAGTGCGTTAGTTCCAGTGATTGAGCATAGGTCCTCAAACCTGCTGGCAAGTGCTCCTTACAAACCAATGAGCATCTCATCAGTTAGAGACAGCTGCAGATGAAAAAAAAAAAAAAGCATTTTTATGTCTGCAAAAGAAGCATTTTTTGTTTTTAATGCATTTTAATTTTCTTTTTTTCCCAGCACTAGAGATGAAACTGGGGCCTCATAGCTGGGAGGCCAACTGACCTCATTCTAAACCCGTTCAGCAGTGTTTTAAAACAAAAGGGAATGCCCATCTATCTCCAAATACCGAAACACACTCAATCCATTATCACAGTGACCTAGCCATTCTGGTTTGCACATTTTGGTGATGGGAACATTTTGAGATGAGTAACAATTTTTTGGGCGGGCGTTATCTTTGGAGTGACTCTTGTATCATGCTTAGTGTTTATGAATGCATCCATTCCACTTTCTATGCCGCAGCTTTTTTTCCCCTGCTGATAACACTTTCAACACCTTTGTTAGTTTAATCCTCACATTCTAAAGTATTTCACTGAAAACATTTTCCTAAACAGTGCTACTAAAAACAGTAAAAATAGGCAGTGCTTCCTGTTTGTACATTTTGTAGTCTAGCCATCCAGAAATTTCTGGTCATAAATTTATCAAAATAATAATCAGTTCTTCTTCCTTGTTAGTTTTCTTGAGATGGGTTGTTAGTTTTTAAACTGTAAAATTACTGAGCCAAAGTTTCTGATCATTTGAAAGCTGTTCCTGCTCGCCCAGAAAGCCAGAAGCAGTCTACATTGAGTTCATACTCTAAGATGGTGGTTATAGTGCCCCACCCCCATCCGAAGCTTTGTATGGAGACCTAGACCACCATAGGGCCTGTAATAAAAGCTTGTTGATTAGCTGCATACCTGGGGTGCATAAGACAGTTTGGATCATCAGTGCTTGTCATAAACCTCTTCCAAATGTCTTTATTTGAATGAAGAATGGTCTTATTCTTTCCCTTTAAACCATTGACCAAGAAGTTACAGAGCACAGCTGGAGCAGGCAACAGCCCATGGTACTGCTGCCATATCTTTTAACCTTAGAGCCTGGTGAATGTTGGCAGATAAAGTTGCCACAGATTGCATCCTAGAACAGTATTGTATAGTACAGTACCCATGGGGAGACTGGAGACTGAGAAAAGACTTAGCCATGCCTCTTTAGATCTAGGTTCCTCTCTGACAGTTTTTTGTTCTTGCAACTTCTTGCAACTCTGGGCCACAGCTGCCCCATGGTAGCTCTCTTTTTCTTAAAACCATATTATACAGTGAACAGCTGAGCACTTTTGAAAGGTTCAGGCATTATTCTGGCCTGCCTCTATTACCTCTATTACCTGCTCGGACAGTACCCGGGTCAGCCCAGGGTTCCATGGGAACCTGCACGCAGGTGCAAAGGACCCCTTTAAAAGACAGACCCTTGTCCATTTATGCTCTCTCTACTCTCTCCTTCTCTGCTCTTCTCTTCCTCTCTCTATCTCTCTCTCTCTCTCTCTCTCTCTCTCTCTCTCTCTCTCTCTGTCTCTCGACTGGCCACGGCGGTCAGCCATTAACCCTGTTTCTCTTCTTTTTTAGTGTCTCTACTCTGCTGGGCCTATAATAAACTGGTTAATATATCTAATAGTCTCATGTCTCATCTTGCGCTCTTTCTCTTCTTTATTTCTAATTTAAGCAAAAATCTAACACTGTTGGCTAGTTTATAGAAAGGAATGACTGTCTTACTGTGTTTTTTATCATGGTCCTGTAGGTGAACAAAGCAAACATCAATTTTTTGAGGAAACTGGTTCGAAATGGCCCTGATGTTCACCCAGGAGCCAATTTCATCCAGCAGAGACACATGCAGATGAAAAGGTAATGCTTTCCCAGTTGTGTGGGATTAACCTGCTGATGGTACTGTTCACCAGAACCATGGAGTGCATTCCAGATGCAGTGATGGGCATTTTTGGGGTGTAGAAAGTAGATGTTTAAATTGAATAGTCCTATGTCTGTCATTGTATCTGTTTGATCACCGCAAATGCATGAAGTATCGTTCTTTTACACATGACATTATTAGACCTAGACACACAATCCCTTGAGATACAAACATGTTTTTTATGTCACTGGGCTCTTGAGGATCTCTCATTGGTGCTCATTTTACCAGGTTTGGCTTGCACAGCTAGGTGAGGTGATCACCAATGGCTTAAGTCATGAGGGTTTTAAGGATCCTGTAAAAAAAGGAATATTACTGTATTTCTATTGATTCTAAAACAAAATACTTTCATATTTTAACATCCATCTCTCCTGAATCTGGAGTCTGAATCCAGGGCTTTGAGGGTGCTAAGGAAACACCTATGTACTGCTGAGCTGTACCTCCAGCTCCCAGCCTCTCGTTAAAAATAGGGTCTCACCAGGCAGTGGTGGCAAAGGCAGAGGCAGGTGGAACTCGGTGAGCTCAAGGCCAGCCTGGTCTACAGACTGAATTCCTGGGCAGCCAGGGTACACAAAAAGAGCCTGTATCAAAAAAAAAAAAAAAAAAAAAAAAAAAAAAAAAAAAAAATGGAGCCATGTCTGTAGTTCCAACATTTGGAAGGCTAATGCAGGAGGTTTACAAGTTCCAGGTCAGCCTGGACTACATAAGACCTTGTCTCAAGTAAGTCCACAAGACGGTAGCGTCTTAAATTAGTTTAAGTGTTATAGACATTGGTTTCTGATCTGAGTGGGAGAAATGTGGTGAAAGAACTTGGTTCAGAGACCATATGTGTGTATCGTGCATGCTCAGGTTCCTGAAGTACGGAAACCGGGAAAAGATGGCTCAGGAGCTCAAGTTTGGGGACATCGTAGAGAGACACCTGATAGACGGAGACGTGGTGTTGTTCAACCGGCAGCCCTCATTGCACAAACTGAGCATCATGGCCCATCTGGTGAGTGTGAGGTTGCTACTCTTAGTTCCCGCCCAGTGGGAACTTACAGGGTATATTCAGGGATGAATTCCAAATGGGAACTCTCAAAGTTTTGTAACTTTGAACTTTCTATTTCCTTTTCAGTTTAAATAAACCTGTTTTAACCTTTAAATTTAGTGTGTGTTTACATTTGTGTCATGATGGGCATGTGGAGTTAGAGAACAAGTTGTAGAAATTGATTCTCTTCTTCTCCCAGAGATCAAACTCAGGTTGTTGGGAGTAAACTTTTATTGTGACTTCATTTAATCTTTTATATTTTATAATATATGTGGGTGTGTCTTCATGTATGCCACATGTGTGCAGGAAAAGTGTAGAGAACTGAAGAGGGCATAGGATTACCTGGACTGGAATTCTGGGCAGTTATAAGAGGCCCAAAATGGGTGCAGAAAAGCAAACTTGATTGCTTTGTTGTACCAAGTGCTTCTAACCTTAGTTAGAACCATCTCCAGCCCCCACCCTTCAATTTTTGCTTTTTTTTTTTTTTTTTTTTTTTTTTTTTTTTTTTTCTTCAAGACAGGGTTTCTCTGTGTAAAAGTCCTAGCTGTCCTGGAATTAGCTCTGTAGACCAAGCTGGCTTTGAATTCATAGAGATCCGCTTGCCTCTTCCTCCTGAGTGCTGGGATTAAAGGCATGTACCACCACTACCTGGCCCCTTCAGTGTTTTTAAGATGTAAGGTATAAAATTAATACACATTACAGTGTCACAGATCTAATTGAGAGTTGATGTGCAAATCACTGGAATGGTTTCATTTTGCAAAGCTAAATGTGTGTGTGTTGTGCACACAGTTTTATATAAAATAGGCAAATAATTATTTTGTTTTGCTTTTGCCTGTTAATTTAGCAACCAAAGCCGGGTGGTGGTGGTGCACGCCTTTAGTCACAGCACTCCAGAGGCAGAGGCAGGTGGATCTCTGTGAGTTCAAGGCCAACCTGATCTACACAGTGAGTTCCAGGACAGCCAGAAATGTTACACAGAGAAACCCTGTCTTGAAAAATCCAAAAAGAAAAAAAAGAAAAGAAGAAACTTTTGAAGAGTGTGGGTGCCATTGGCTTAGTGGCAGCATGGCTTTGAAGAACACTGTGAGCTCACCTGCAGATGTGGCTTCGCTGTTGCTACTGCTTTTCATCCCTGTGAGCTTGAAGTGAGTCTAAAGGCTCACCAGATTCAGGCTCAGCTTTTTGGCAGGGCTGATATATAGATGGTGCCATCTATCCTCTTGACTTGTTTGGGATGCTTATGTGATTTGGCCACCCTACTCTTGTTGATGCTAAGAAAAAGATTCAAATACTTGAGGCTACACAGAGGGCCCCAGTTTCTAATTTCTTTCTATTCTCATGCTTTACCCAGACTTCTTTTTTTCTTTAATTTTATTTATTTATTATGTATACAACATTCTGCTTCCATGTATATATGCACACCAGAAGAGGGCACCAGATCTCATAACAGATGGTTGTGAGCCACCATGTGGTTGCTGGGAATTGAACTCAGGACCTCTGGAAGAGCAGTCAGTGCTCTTAACCTCTGAGCCATTTCTCCAGCCCCCACTCCCCCACTTCTTTAAATTTTTTTTTTTTTTTTTTTTTTAATGTGCATTGGTCTTTTGCCATAGGTGTTGGGTTGCCTGAACTGGAGTTACAAACAGGTGTGAGTTGCCATGTGGGTGATGGGATTTGAACCTGGGTCTGGAAGTCAGTGCTCTTAACCGCTGAGCCATCTATCCAGTCCTTTCCTGATTTCTGTAATGAAAGTATTTCCTCTGCTGTTAGGCCAGTGGCTCACCCTGAACAACAGTTCACAAAAAAAAGGCAGCATACATGGCTAGTTCTTTTCCCTTTATCAGTCTGGGGAGTTGAGACTCACTGACTTCCGAGTTCCTTACTTGGTAGTCTTAGGTATCTTGCTTTCTTGCTTCCCCTATTAAAAACTCAGTATGAAACTTTGTTAATACTTGAGGAGTGTGGACTGTACATTTTGTCTCCTGTTGGTATTTGCCTCATAGTATGTTATCTTTGGCTTGCTTGACTAAATCTACAAGTAATTTATGTTTATAATAGAACAAATAGAAGTTTATGTCCTTAAAGTATCTAGTTTTCTAGGCAGTGTTTGTTCTTTCTCCTCATGGCTTGAAACAAGGAAGCTTTTGGGTGCTTATGTTTTGTTTTGATGTTCTACAGGCCAGAGTCAAGCCCCACCGGACCTTCAGATTCAATGAATGTGTCTGCACCCCATACAACGCAGACTTTGATGGGGATGAAATGAACCTTCATCTTCCCCAGACGGAGGAGGCCAAAGCAGAGGCACTCGTTCTCATGGGGGTAGGTAGTGGGATGCTGCCTATGAGAAGGGTGCCACACGAAACAGCAGTGCAAGTACCAATACCAGAGAAGCCAGGCCCTTTCTGTCCTCACACATGCTACAAGGCCTGTGTTGTTCTGTCTTGTTTTCTCCTTGGTTCCCTTTGAGCCTTTGAACAGTCTTGAAAATAATAGCATGTGAGTTAGTAACAAGTGCTTTTAGGGTTGGATGACATTTTCTGATCTGTACCCTGAATTCTTGAGAGAAAAAATATATATGTATGAAAATAAACTAGCTGGGAGGTGGTGGCACATGCTTTTCATCCCAGCACTCTGGAGGCAGAGGCAGGTGGATCTTTGTATTTGAGGCCAGCTTGGTTACAGAGTGAGTTTCAGGCTACACAAAGAAACTGTCTCAAAACAAACAAACAAAAGAAAATAAACTAAGTAGCATGAATGGTGGTGTATTGCATGCCTGTAATCCCAGCACTTAAGAACCTAAGCTACAGCTGGCGGTGGTGGCACATGCCTTTAATCCAAGCACTCGGGAGGCAGAGGCAAGCGGATCTCTATGAGTTCAAGACCTGTCTGGTCTACAAGAGCTAGTTCCAGGACAGTCTCCAAAAGCCACAGAGAAACCCTCTCTCGGGAAAAAAAAAAAAAAAAAAAGACCAAAGCTGAGCTACAGAGTGAGACCCAGACTACTGGAGGTAGAGACAAGAACATTATGAGTTCAAAGCCAGCAAGGACTATGTACATGATCCTGTCTCAAAAAGACAAAAATATTTGTGCATCGGTTCCAGTATTGTGGGGGATGATGCCCTACTAAGTGAATTGCCCAGTATGTTGTAAATGAAAACTTTTCCGAAGTGTTATTACATGTTGCTTTGGCCTCTTAAAGGGCACTATACTAATTACTTGTTTTGTCTTCCAAACTTAAAATGAGACTGCTGTGGCTTCAGAAGAGTTGGTCTCTACCTGTTATACCATCTACACTGCCCCCTGCATTGTACTGCACATGGCAATGTTGGGTGTCTACTGTGTAGGGCTCTGTATAGCTTTGGACTTGTGGATTTTAATTGGGACCTAGGTGTGTTGTCCATGTTATCCTTGAACTCATGGGCTCAAGTGATCCTCCTGCCTCAGTCTCCCTAGTGGTCAAGAGTACACATATTATACTATATTTGGCTTGAGTATTTTTCCTCTCTGGCCTACGTTCTTCCATTATAAGCTCACCTGTGTATGGTTGTAAGTATTCCCTATTCCTACCTACAAAAACCACTTGTAGGGACAGAGTATGACTGTAGCACTATGGTGGACTCTTTCTCTGACATGCCCAAAGCCCTTAATTCATTCCCATCCCCACTAAAAGTAAATAGGTAGATAAAATCCAGTTACTCTTGACAACTAAACCACAATCTCAGTCTCCACATGTCCCTGTTGAGGTGGGCTTTCTGTGTAGCCCAGGCTAGCTAGAACTCCCTGTGATCCTCCTATATCTGCTCTTAGCACTAGGATAACTGACATGAGACACCATGCTTAGCCATAGCCTCCATTACTGATGTGATACTTTAGCCTTACATTGATTTAGGTTTAGTCCATGTACTAGTTTGGGTGTTTGGGATTGTCTATATTTGTAGGGGTTTTTTTGTTGTTGTTTTGTTTTTAAGCAAAATGCTGTTTTTGTAACTAAAAATAATATTAAAATGTTATTAGGAATAACAGACACCTCTTAGATTCAACCAGTTAAATTTTGCCTGTTAGGAGCCACACCACTGTCATTTTGTTGTTAAGAACTTATTGATTAAAATAACAACCATAAACTACAGGTTTGGGCCCTTGGGGTGGAAGAGTCTGTTGTTCCATCAGAATAAATCTCTCTGAGTTTCACTGGAGAAATTTTGACCTGGCACTGATGTAGCAGTTCTCAGTAAGGCTTCTAGGACCCAGAGTACACAGATTTACAAAATCATGAAACTGCCCTATATCTCTACTGACTTCAGGCCACCCAGTGTCTTCCCTCCGAGAGGGTCTCTAAACCTAGGTGAGTGTGTCCAGATGTTGTGATCCAGATGTAGGGGCATTACTGTGTGATGGCTCACAAAAGGGAACTAAAAGGCCTTTGCCTGACAGGACCTCGGGTCTGGTAAGGAGGTCCAGAAAACCCACAGACTCACAGGAGCACCTCCACATCACCTCGTGGACATTAGAAGATTCCTACTCAGACAAGGAACCCTCTGCTCTCAGTTGCTGTTAGAACTTAACAAGAGAAGTCACTCAGTTCTCCTGTCATTGTGGAGAAACATGAAATTGGTTGATTTCAGAGCTCACACAGCTCTCACAGGAGGGAATGTTTTTAGCTGGGCTTGGCTACACACTTGTTGACACCAGTGCCCAAGAAGCTGAGGCAGGAGGATCACTGACTTCCAAGCCAGCCTAGGCTACATAGTAAGTTCTAGACCAACCTGGGCTACAGAGTGAGCTCCTACTGGGGACCTTTCTTTTTCCTTGATCAGTGAGATAACTACAAGGTTGTAAGAATGCTAGGGTGGAGACCTCTCAGCTCAGCAGTCATGTGATGCCTATAGTCATATGGCACAGACCTTCAGGCTGCACTGTGTATGCCAGAGTGGCTGACTTGTGCTTGTTTCTCTTCAGACCAAAGCAAACCTTGTAACCCCAAGAAATGGGGAGCCACTCATTGCTGCCATTCAGGACTTCCTAACAGGTGAGTGTTAACTTGAAAGGAGACTTCGGCTTCCTAGGCAAAGTGATTCAGACAATGGCCTGGAGCTGTTATCTGTACTTAGGAGTCATTCTACTTTTAGATTGACACAGGGTCCCCCTGAGTGTCTCAGCTGGCCTGGTGCTCAGAATCCTGTCCCACACTCCCAGGTGTCAGTGTTATAGTTGTGCACCACCATGCTTTGCCCTGCCCTGTCTTGTATTTAGGTTTGTCATTTGCCCTTGAGCTTGCTGGAGATATATTTTACCAGTTGTTATTCATTTGATTGTGTGTACTCACTGAACTCCACAGACTTGGTGGTGTTTTTCTGTTGTTTCTTTTGTGGTGGAGGCTGAGTGGGGGCAGTGGTGGTGGGATGGGGCTTCATGTATTCAGAGTGGTGGGATCCAGAGGACCTTCATACAGGCTGAGTTGCCAGCAGTTTGATAGGGCTTCCTGTATCCTGAGCTTGTAGGGGTGTTCAGGAGGACTTTGTCTGGGCTGAGCCTGAGCTTCTGATGTAGCCAAAGCTGATCTTGAAACTGGGGGTTTTCTTGTCTAGACTCTGCCATAGCTCTGACATAAGGTAGTGGATGAAGCAAAGCCACTTGACTTACTTTGGAGAGTTGGGGGCACAGTCAGCACCTCTATTTTTATTCTTCTCTGGGGAACAATCTGACTTCACTTGAAGGTTGAAAATGTATGCGTTCGAGCCGTGCGTTGGTGGCGCACGCCTTTAATCCCAGCACTTGGGAGGCAGAGGCAGGCGGATCTCTGTGAGTTCGAGACCAGCCTGGTCTACAAGAGCTAGTTCCAGGACAGCCTTCAAAGCCACAGAGAAACCCTGTCTCGAGAAAAAAAAAAAAAAAGAAAAAAAAAAGAAAATGTGTGCGTTCCCCCCCCATGTGGTTCCTTTTCTTTTTTGTGCTGGCTCTTTTCCTTAGGTGCCTACCTCCTTACCCTCAAGGACACTTTCTTTGATCGAGCCAAGGCTTGCCAAATCATCGCTTCAATACTGGTTGGCAAGGATGAGAAAATTAAAGTGCGCCTTCCGCCCCCGACTATACTAAAGGTGTGTTGGGGTCTGTGTGGGTAGCTGGTGGAATGGAAGGGACCATGTTGGTGCTGGGCTTACAGGTAGTCACTGCACCCTCTTGCTTTACTGAAGTGGACCTTGCTGAGACCAGCCCTCATCCGCTGCCTCCTTTCCTCCAGCCTGTCACCCTGTGGACTGGAAAGCAGATTTTCAGCATCATCCTCAGACCCAGTGATGACAGTCCAGTGAGGGCCAACCTCCGGACCAAGGGCAAGCAGTACTGTGGCAAGGGGGAAGACCTCTGCGTCAACGACTCCTGTGAGTGGAAGGGATGGGTGGGAAAAATTCCTGTGAGTGTCCCTAGAAGGCAGGGATCATTTGGACAGAGTTCCAGTGATCAGAATGGTCTTTTTTTTTTTTTTTTTTTTTTTTGAATTTATTTATTAGTTTTAGTTAGGGAACAAGCTTGTTTCACATGTAAGTCCCTTCTCCCTCTCCCTCCCATCACCCCCATCCCTCCTCCCCCACTCCCCCACCCCATCCTACCCTTCCCAGGAAGGGTAGGGCCCTCAACGGGGGCTCTGCAAAGTCCACCAAATCTTCCTGTGCTGGTCCTGGGCCTTTCCCCATATGTCCAGGGCCAGAGTGTAACCCTTAGCGTGGGATGGGCTCTCAAAGTCCCTTCTTGCACCAGGGAAAAATACTAATCCACCACCAGAGGCTCCCTGGAGTGCAGAGGCCTCCTTATTGACATCCATGTTCAGGGGTCTGGATCAGTCTTGTACTGGCCTCCCAGACAGCATCTGGGGTCGATGTGCTCTCCCTTGTTCAGGCCAACTGTTCCTGTGGTTTCTCCAACCTGGTACAGACCTCTTTGTTCTTCATTCCTCCCTCTCTTCAACTAAATTCCTGATTTCAGCTCAGTGTATGTCTGTGGTTGTCTGTCTCTGCTTCCATCAGCCACTGGGTGAGAGCTCTAGGATAGCATAAAGAGAAGTCATCAATCTCATTTTAGGGGAAGGGCTTTTAGGTTATCCTCTCCACCATTGCCTGGATTGTCAGATCATGTCATCCTTGTAGGTCACTGGAGATCTTAACGGTTTTATCAATTAATGCAATTTGTCTTTTTTCTAGGGCAGAGGGGCAGGTGGGCATCAAAGGTTGTTTATAGTTTATTATTATTTTTATTACATGCCTTTTAGAAGGTGTATTCATTGTCTAACAGCACAACTAATAGTCATTTTTTTTAAATGGAGATAAGGTTTCACACTGTAGCCCAGGCTGGCCTTGAATTCACAGTAGTCCTTCTGTCTCACCTTCAGGAGTGCCGGGTCTTCAGTAGTAAATAGTCCCACTTGACTCTACTTTGGTGGTGAGGATTGAACTCAGGGCTTTTACACATGATGCTGTCACAGAGCTACATCCTGCTCCAAGACTAATTGTTTCTCTAACTGACTTTACATAGTCAGAAAGAGGAAGTCTTGCTAGCATGACAATTCAGTAGAATGTATCAGAAAGAAGATTTAAATACAAGTCATCTGAGTCTCTTTAAAACAGTGCCCAAGTGAGGTTCACAGCCAGCATCCCGTGGCTATTGTCTAGCACAAGCTCCTTAGCTCTCCCCACACCATTGGCTAACAGGGCCTCAGGGCTAGCCGTGAATCTCCAGGATATGTTATTGAATTCTAGCGTTTAGAAAGATGCTGGTTTTCCTCATACTTGTTGCCTTAGCAGAAAACAAAGGTTTTTTGTTTTCGTTTTTAAAAGATTTATTTATTTATTTAAAAGATTTATTTATTTATGTGTACAGTGTTCTGTATGCATGCCTGCACACCAGAAGGGGGCACCAGGTCTCATTACAGATGGATGTGAGCCACCATGTGCTTGCTGGGAATTGAACTCAGGACCTCTAGAAGAGCAGCCAGTGCTCTTAACTGCTGAGCCATCTCTCTAGTCCCCAGAAAACAAAGTTTTAAGGAGAAATTCTTTGGCTATACTTGGAATTTTCAGGATGTAAGCATTTTTCTCAACCAGATAATTATTCATTTAAATGCATTGTCAGTATCACCCTTCCAGATGTCACAATCCAGAACAGTGAACTGATGAGTGGCAGCATGGACAAAGGAACCCTGGGGTCGGGATCCAAGAACAATATCTTCTACATCTTACTACGAGACTGGGGGCAAAATGAGGCTGCTGATGCCATGTCTCGGCTTGCCAGGCTGGCTCCTGTCTACCTATGTGAGTATCTCTGCAGCTTCATGTTTTATGTCAATGCTGTAGTAGACAAAGTCTTTCTTTGTCTACTACAGCATTGTAATTTAATGGGGAGAAGTACTTGCGCAAGGGAGCCAGTGACAGTGTATTCTTCACTGTTTGATTCCCACACTGACACAAGATCAAGTATGCTAAGTCATTTGTGCATTTATCAGTGACTTCGACTCAGAACTGACAAGTTGATAGATTGCATAAAAAGTTCTCTGTGGGCTGCTTCCCAAGTACCTAGGGAAGCTCTGTAACCTCTGGACCTCCCTTAATTCATCCCAGCCAGATGAATCAGTGTTGCCCTGCTATGCTTTCATGGTTCTTTCCTTTGCTTGCTTATATTTTGAGGGTGGCATAAATCAAGTAATTTTTGCATGTTTCCCAAAATCGAGTTTTATTGCTATTGCTGTGTGTGTGTGTGTGTGTGTGTCTGTCTGTCTGTCTGTCTGTCTGTCTGTGTCTGTGTGTGTATGTGTGTACACTAGTGCCACAGCATGGGTATGGCAGTCAGAGGACAACTTGTAGGAATCTTCTTCTATCACATGGGTCTTGGGGGTCAGACTCTGGTGGTGGCAAGCATCTTTATAAAGACATTGCAAAGTGGAGTCAGAACTAGGTTGTTAAACAGTAGTTTAATGGGGAGAAGTACTTACGCAAGGGAGCCAGTGACCAGGTTTGCACCGGAGCAGGACAGACCCACCAAATGCTTCCTAGTTAGCTCAGCCAGGAGAAAGAGAGCCACGTGCATGCCTCCCTCTTTCTTAAACCATTGTTATGTAACTCTGACCATGACAGAGTCCAGGCCCAAGCAGGCGTGGTCAGAGGTACCTCTTTTTTTTTTTTTTTTTTTTTAAAGATTTATTTTTATTTATTATGTATACATTGTTCTGCCTGCGTGCCAGAAGAGGGCACCAGGCCTCATTATAGATGGTTGTAAGGGAATTGAACTCAGGACCTTCGCTAGAGCAAGCAGTGCTCTTAACCTCTGAGCCATCTCTTCAGCCCCTAGCAGTACCTCTTAATCAGGGTTTCTCCCTACACTTTTACCCACTGAACCATCTTACCAACTATAATATTTTGGTTCTTCTCATATTTGACTTACTCTTTCCAGGATGGACAATTTTGGACTGGATATTTTACCTCATCAGTCTCTCCATATTGTTCTGTTGTAGCTTCTAGAGGTACTGTGGAAACAGTACAGCCATTTCTATTCCCACAGTGTTTTGAACCTTTTTTCCATCCTGGAGGCCATAGAGTCTTATATTTAATATTATTGGAAAAGTTTACAGTGAAGCCCTGGTGTAGGCTTTTTTTTTTTTTTTTTTTTGGTTTTTTGAGACAGGGTTTCTCTGTGGCTTTGGAGGCTGTCCTAGAACTAGCTCTTGTAGACCAGGGTGGTCTCGAAAAGAGATCCGCCTGCTTCTGCCTCCCAAATGCTGGGACTAAAGGCGTATGCCACCACTGCCCGGCTGTGGTGTAGGCTTCTTAATTTTTTGTGCTAATCACTCAGTTAGCTTTTATAAACTTGTAGCAGTGTCCTTTCTTTCTGGAAATTTCCTCATTATTTCTTTGATAATTTGATATTCTCCATTTCTGTTTGGAACTTTTGTTAATTGCATTTCCAGTTACTGGATCAATTTTACTTTTCCTTTTGTCTCTTATAATTTCTGTTGACTTTAAATGTTTTCTTTGGTAAGTCTTGGATTTCTGACAAAATTTCCCAGGTAAGGTGAGGCATGCAAGCATACTCACAGAACACTATACACATAATAAG